ATACACAAACTGGCTCACAATGGACTGGTTGCTGGTGGATTATAGAACGAAAGCAAACACATATAGCCAGCTCAGGTAAGTTAATACCTTTAATGAGCCACTTGCTCTTTGTGTAGCTAGGGCTGAGTTACATGGCTGCTTTCTGTGAAACTATAAAATGTGGTTGCCTGGACTTATCCCCCTCAATGGAGTATAATGAGGAGTAATTTACTAATATTCAGTAGTTGACTTTGAGACTTGATCCCAGCTCCCACTTGTCACTGGAGATATTTTTATTGACTCCAGTGAGAATTGGATTGGACCCAAATTAACTATTCATCATTGAAATCTGTGACATCATTAATGAGTTTCAATTTAATAAAGTTTGTAAAGTGATTTGAGAGTCTTAGATGGCAATACTGAGAGAGGTAGAGGTCTATAAAATCATGACTGGAATGGAAAAAATGAATAAGGAAAAGTTATTTACATATTCCCACAATATAAGAACTAAGAGTCACCAAATGAAATTAATAGGCAGCCAGTTTAAAACAAACAAAAGGAAGTTTTTCTTCACTCAGCACATAGTCAACCTGTAGAACTCCTTGCCAGAGGGTGTGGTAAAAGCTAGGACCTTAATAGGGTTCAAAAAAGAGCTAGCTGGATTCATGGAGGTTAGGTCCATCAATGGCTATGAGCCAGGATGGGTAGGAATGGTGTCCTTAGTCTCTGTTTCTCTGGAAGTGGGTGACAGGAGAAGGATCACGTGATTTTTACCTGTAGTTTTTCCTCCCTCTGGGGCATCTGGTATTGGCCACTGTCAGCAGACAGGGTACTGGGCTGGATGGATCATTGGTCTGACTGTTCTTGGCTGTTCTTATTCTGTTGGGGTTTTTTTAGTTAAAACAAATCTAGTGCTGTCAAGGCATTACATAAATTAATCACAATTGATTGTGTGATTAAAATAATTGCTTGTGATTAATCTTGTGATTAATTGCACTGTTAAAGTATAGTAGAATACCATTTATTTAAATGTTTTGGATGTTTCCTACATTTTCAGATATATTGATTTCAATTACAACATACAATACCAAGTATACAATGTTAACTTTATATTTATGTTTTATTACAAATATTTGCATAGTAACCCATCCCCCCAAAGAAATCACCTAATACAAGTACTGCAATGCAGTCTCTTTTTCGTGAAAGATGAACTTACAAATGTAGAATTATGTTAAAAAACTGCATTCAGAAATAAAACAATGTGAAACATTAGAGCCGACAAGTCTACTCAGTCCTACTCCTTGTTCAGCCAATTACTCAGACAAATACGTTTGTTTATATTTGCAGGAAATAATGCTGCTCTCTTTTTGTCACCATGTCACCTGAAAGTGAGAATCACCATTTGCATGATATTTTGTAGCCACGACTGCAAGTATTTACACTACAGATATGCTAAACATTTGTATTTCTTTAATCTTTCAGCCACCATTCCAGAGGATATGCTTCCATATTGATGAATGAAGTTAAAAAAATGTGTTCATTAAATTTGTGACTGAATTTTTCGAGGAAGAATTGTATGTCTCCTGCTCTGTTTTACTTGCATTCTGCCACATAGTTAATCTTATAGCAGTCTTGGATGATGACCCAGCATGTTATTCATTTTAAGAACACTTTCACTGCCAATTTGACAAAACACAAAGAGGGTACCAATGTGATATTTCTAAAAAAGAGCTACATCACTTGACCCAAGGTTTAAGAATCTGAAGCACCTTCTAAAGTCTGAAAAACAAAGCATGGAGCGTGTTTCCAGAAATCTTAAAAGAACAGCACTCTGAAGTAGAAACTAAAGAACTGAACCAGCAAAAACGAAAATCGTCCTTCTGCTAGTGGCATCTAACTCAGATTATGAAAGTAAAAATACGTTGGTCCATGATGCTTTGGATCATTTTCTTGGATCATTAACAAGAAGAACCCATTATCAGCATGGAAGTATGCCCTCTGGAATGGTGGTTGAAGCATGAAGGGACATATGAATCTTTAGCACATCTGGCATATAAATATCTTGTGATGCCAGCTGCAATCGGTCTACGAGAATGAATGCCTGTTCACTTTCAGTTGACACTGTAAACAAAATGTGGGAAGAAATATCTTCTGGAAATATGAACAAACTTACTTATCTGAGGGTACGTCTACACTGCATCCCTAGTTCGGACTTGGGATGCAAATGGAGACGAACGAAGTAGTTAATGAAGCGGGGATTTAAATATCCCGCGCTTCAGTAACATGATCTCACTGGTGCGCTAGTTCGAATCACAGCTGATTTGAACCAGGAAGTGCACGCCGGGATGCGTTAGTTCAGACTAAAGCCCTTAGTTTACCATTTTTTGAGGGGTAACGTTAGTTCGGACTAAGGGCTTTAGTCCGAACTAATGTGTCCCGGCGCGCACTTCCTGGTTCGAATCAGCTGTGATTCGAACTAGCGCACCAGTGAGATCATGTTACTGAAGCGCGGGATATTTAAATCCCCGCTTCATTAACTACTTCGGTTGTCTCCATTTGCATCCCTAGTCCGAATTAGGGATGCAGTGTAGACGTACCCTGAGAGACTGTAGAACAAGAACTAGGACTGAGGGGACTTATACACTGTACACTTTGTATTTTGCGTTGTAATTGAAATCAATATATTTGAAAATGCAGGAAAACATCCAAAATGCTTAGTAAATTTCAATCTGTATTCCACTGTTTGACAAGTGTGATTAAAACTGTGATTTTAATCTAGGTGATGGGCTGATATTAATCTATATGAAAAATAAGCAAGGAAAGAATGTATGAGCATTACTCCAGAGACTTCCACAGTAGCATGCACAACATCTTTCTTTGCTTCTTCTATAGGCCCAATTGTGTCAAATTAAACCCTAAAGGATTCAGGTGTCCTGGCTTGTTGTTGGATGAACAAGGCTTATTAGTAATGATACACTTTAGGAAAAAAGGTCTTAATTAATATTTATTTCCTTAATTAATCTGATGACTAACAATGAAAACAAAACCAAGACACTTTAAGGCAATTTTAAAACTAATTTTGCCTTAGATGGGCCAAGAAAAATAAAAATGCTCAGATACAAAACTCACTAAATTCTTGCTGTAATTCAATACCCAAACTCTATGCATCTTCTATCGCTGCCATGCTTTATAGTGATGTACACTAGCCACTAGAGAGAGCGTCATTCTGCTTAAACATGAGATAGTGAAGGGATGCCTATGATGATCGTTTGCCATGGGAACAATAACAGAGCTTTTCTGTATTCTTATTTCCTTTGGTGGCTGGGGACTTGCTTTCAGAAGAGAGTTTCTTTTAATCCCCTCCTCATAAAAGTCTGGCAATTTGAAAGATTTTTAGTCTTGTCTTCCTGAGTCTAATAAAAGGATGGTAATTCCAAAACCCATGTGGTTTAAGTTGTAGTTTGTTGGAAAAAACAGTAGTTCCGTATCTCCACAAGACTTGTCTGATGGTGAGACAAATCTGTCTCTAAGGTTATCAGCCTTATTTTTAGTTGAAATTGCTCTATGCTAACAAATAGAATCAAGAAGCCTAGATTGTAGTTTATCAGAGGTCAAGTCCATAAACTCTTCACAAGCACAGCTCCCTACTAAGTCGATGGCGGCTCCAGGTGAAAAGACCACTTGGGATCAAGCCCTAGATCAGCTACTTTAGTCTATTTCCCTGCCACTGCATGATTATTGTCTGCAATTTCAATCCAGTCCCAATATTATTGAACAGTAAATTGAATCACTATCCTCTAGCCTAGAGGTTCCCAACCTTTTCCAGATGGGGACTCATTTTGACAATTCAGGAAGACTTGGTGACCCATGTCACTTCAAAAATGGGGGGAGAAGGGAAAGCAGAGCAACTTGGAGAGACACTTGGCGGCCCTTTTGAAACGTAATGGCGACCCATATTTGGGTCCCAACCCATAGGTTGGGAAACCCAGCTCTAGCCTTACAGTTCGTAATGAAAATCACTAGACTGGCCAGTTATATTGGTCTCAGTTTAGTCTGGAATTACTACAGATTCACAGAGGTGAAACTAAGAGTAGAATTTGGTTTGTTATGTTGGAGTGTAAAGGAAATATTTGTAGTCACTGAGGCTACGTCTATACTGCAATGCTATTTTGGGATACCAGAGTATCCCAAAGTAGCTATCTTGTGTCTTAACAGCAAGCCTGTTATTCTGGGCTTGCTATTCTGATGTCTCTATAAACTTCATTCCACAGGGAGTAAGGGACATTTTGGAATAATGGGTTATTTTGAAATTTAGTGCTGTGTAGATGGTGCCACATTATGAAATAAGCTATTTTGAAATAAGGTCAAAGTAAGGTACGCAATTTGTGTAGCTCAAATTGTGTACTGTATCTTATTTCGAACTACAGTGCAGTATAGATGTAGCCTGCATCACACTTACACAGGCTCTGCAACACAGGACAGCTAGAGCTACAGCCTTCTCTTTTCTATTTGCTAAAACCTTCTATATTTTTATATTATTGTGAAGTTGTTATTTATGCCCTTCTAACTTTCTGGCCACGTTACCGTTCTTTCCACAGGCAGCTTACCTCTTATGATGTTCATAATTAATAAAAATTCAAGGCCAGATTCCCACATTCTTACTCAAGTAAATGAGAACATCAATCCATGGAAGTTAATGGTACTACTTATGGGTAAGATGCTACTCAGGATGAATAAATCTAGACCATATTGCATACATCATAGCTGACTTTCGTCTCCAATGAGAACCATGTGAATAAATTCTATATTTTACAATAAATATTCATTTTATTTTCTTTGAAGTTTTGTTCTGATTATAGTTGTTAGGGCATATTTTTGTATACAGTAATCATGTTTTAACAAGCATTTCTGAAGACAATAGGCTGTACAGAGTTTGGAACTGATTAAAAACTACAATGAAGTATATCAAAGTTAAATAATTTAAAAAATTCTGTGTATATCTGCTGTTAAATGCATCTTACCTGTTCCCAGAAATAAGACATGGTATCGTCCATCAGCAGCATTAACTCGGTCCACTGCTATCTTTGTGTACTTGTAATCTGTTCCTGTCCGAATGATTAATGGCCTTTTGTGTATTGGGTAAATGGGATTGAACATCAAGGGGTGATTCCTAATAAAGGTCACAACGTCGTCTGGGAATTCCTTAGTTGTTCGCATATTGGGTGTAAAGGCTCCTCCAGGACACTGTAAGGAAGCATTCATAATATTGCTTAACAATGCTTAGCATCTATCACAGATTTTTTTTATTCAGTTTATCTACAAACATTGACTGATGGCAGGCAACATGGTAACATTTTATTGAAAAAGCACTTCATATTCCATGTGAAAATGATTACATTTAAATAATGGAAAAGCTGTCCTCTACTAGCTGCGTCTATAAACTGTCCTCATTTGGGATAAAATAAACATAAACATATTTGTGTGTTGTTGCAAGTGAGGCTGATGGCAATGCTCCATTCCCCCAAATGGCAATGCTCCCAAAGTTCCCACTCCAAAGAATGCAAGTGACGGGTAAGGAGAAAGTTTCAAAGATCTTGGCTTTGGGTAGTACAAAAACAGATGTAAGGCCAACGGGTATATGTAGGTGCATAACTAGGTACCTATCTCTGATATGTTATAATTATTCAATGCACACAATGCTAGATTTGGAAAAGCCTTGGACAAGAAGGGAGAAAATGCAAGGAACCTTTTCCAGACCCTCCAAGACTGTACATGAGTACCACCCAGGGTAGCCTAAACCCGGTGTGAGGAGCCACAGTGCACGGCCTTTCCTCTGTTACTGTATCCTGATGGGTGTTTGCCTGAGCATTTCACTAGAATTTCTGGTGGAATAAGCTGAACCATGCTGTGTTTCCTTCACAATGACTTGTGAGAGAACTGGCAGACAAAAGGACCGTGAGAGGCACTGGAGGTTTCATACTCAAACTCAGTCCATAGGTGAGTTTGCCTGAACCCTTTCTGCAAACTGGGTAATTTCTCTGACCAAAAGGAAACAATATCTGGACTGCAACCCACTGCCCCAGCCAGGCTAGTGAACTGGCAGTAAGCACCTCTTAAATGTGCTTATGTGTTTTCCTGAATCAGGCTCAAATTTTGACCCACAGCACACAATCCATGAAAAGAGGGGAAATGGCCACATCCCTGCCCTGCACCCAAGTTTCTATTGAAAGAGTCACCCACGATACACTGCTGCATAGCACAAGGCTTACCAGGCAGTTTCTACCACCTTCTTGCCTCGGAGATCCTAAGCCATGTTGCTGTGATTCTCCAAATGTATTCCAAACCTGATATGTAAGTCCTCATGAACAGCAGATTGGCAATTGCATAATTGTTTCAGGCAAGCCCCAGCCATCTTTCTTGGACCAATTCATTGCTCTATTACCAGCCCAAAGGCCAGTGTCATTGAATAATTTCTTTGTCCAGAAAGGCTGGACTCGGAAAAATTCATAGATTGTGTGTCTCCACTGCCACCAGAGAAGTCAGTGAAGTACAACATGAGCTGTTCCCTTCCTCAAAGAGTTGTGTATATCTTTGCAGCACTCCCCTCCCTACAGGCGATTTAAACATACAATCACAAGATTCATAGCACATTTGCAACCTCTAGCCTGCAGAGATAACTTCATAAATTAGAGATGAACTAAATGAGGAGAGGGTTCCTTTGTGTTAAAGTACATTCTTCAACTAGTGATAGATACAAAAATAGTTCTGTAAAATCTGGAAAATAGAAACAACCTTTAAGCAGCTCTGAATGTAGTAGGAAGCTGCCAATTATGCCATAAACATTTTTCCACAGGTAATTTTAGTGTGTGGAAGAAATAAACAATACTTGGTATGTAGTAAAGGGCAACCAAAGACTACAGAGCCTGACTGTGGCTACTGAACATATTACTTAATTTAATTCTATTTAAGCCATGATGCAGCATTTGTGATGTTTACAGTTACAGCATTTTGGCTGATTGTTAGTGCATTTATAACAAACTGTTTAATTTGAAAGATCTATTTATGTAAGTGGAACATATGCTTTGCCGTACTGGGTCAGACCGCTTCCTTTCTAATCCAGCATCCTAGAAGTGGCCAAAAGCTGATGTTTGACAAGAAAGAGGCTCCTACCCCATAATGGAGTTTGGCAAACTTTCTGAACTCGGTTCCCTGAAAACAGGCATCTGAATATGTATTTAAATTTCTAAACAGAAGAGGTCTGCTTTCCAAAGGTGCTGCACCTACACTGATTTCAGTGGGAAATATAATTTAACACTTAATCCTTCCAGAATGTCAGATAGAGAGCCTTCTGCCAATGCAGAAAAGCAGAGACAAGTTAGAAAATGTTTCAGTTAGAGACTGTGATGAAGTTGGGTGGTTTGCAGAGAAGCATCAGGGGAACAGATGAGAGGATAGGGAAGTTTCAAATAAGAAGAATGAAGATCTTAGTCAAATCTGATGAAAATATTGCCCTCAAATGAACTGGATTGGATTATGCAGAACAATGGAGGTACCATGGGAATTGGCTGACGTGACAACTGGAAATCTGTGACAAACTTGCTTGCGTGTTTGTGGAATGGCTTGTTAAAAGACTTTTGTGTAGAAGAATTTGGATAGTTTTGGGGAAAGAATATTAGAGTCAAGTCATGTCTTGTATTGGAAAAACTGGCAACAGAAGGGGGAAAATTTGGCTAAATGCTCAACATGCGGTGATTTGGATACTTGTTCTCATGACCTTCTCTGAACTAGTATTGGAAAATCAGCTATCTAAGGTTTGAATTTGACCTGAAGAAAATATATAAGGAGAAGTTCCACTCAGAAGATTCATATGCAACTCTCCAATCCCTTGGAAATGTGCAGAGCTTTAGGGTTTTGAGATTCCAGTTTTGACATATCACTGATCATGTCCTTATACTATACTATCTGTTTTTGCCTTCTTTAACAAATGTGTCAAACCATCTTTCTGGCTTGTCTTTTAATTACAGCTCCACACTGAACTAACACAAAACCTGATGTATCCATCATGATCCTGAAGAATCTTTCTTCTCAGGTTCCTTTCCATTCAGATTCCATCAGCACATCTGATACAGTGAGACAATGTTTGCCACCATGTAAAACCTAGACCTAAGTTAAATTTTCCTTTCCTTTGTTTTGCCTGATCCCTTACTGTGTTTTGCCCTTCATAAACCTTCAGAAGATGAACCAAGAATAACGTAACAGTGGTTTAGAAAATACATAGATTCAATACTCCTGAAGTAACAAGAAACACTGAAATGTAACTAATCACTAGAACATACAAACTCCTGGTTAAATGAGCCATTATGTTATATCTTCATAAACAGTAAAATTAAAGCAACAGTGAACTCATGAGATTAGGACTATCTGAATTAATTGAAAACAAGAATGCTACCTTTCAAGTGCAGTGGAACATGAAATATTATTAACAAACCCTGAAGAGCTTTTGGGACATGAAAGTCATAAATCTGACAGCCAGTAATATCTTACGAGGCTGAACTGACATTCCTGAAGCTATGAAGAATTACATTGCTCTTGTCCCTGTGACAAGAGAAATGTAAATCCCAGGAATGGTCACTGCTGTTGTATACTGAACTAGTCAATTTCAGTGTTTACTATCATCAGCTATTATGTTTCAATTCTAAATGTATTTGCAAAGCTCTCATAGATAACTAACCACATGACTGATCACTGCTAATAAGAGTATTTTCATTAGTCAAATCACAAACACTGAACGGTTGCTAAGGTGCCAATCTTTGAGGGCACGTCTACACAGCAACATTATTTCGAAATAACTTAGTCTGCTTCTTAACAGCAGGCAGTTATTTCAAAATAAGGTCAAAATACTGTCAAACTGGACAACTTCTTACTCTGACTCCTGTAACCATAATTGTACAGGTGGTCCGACCAGAGATACGGGGATCGATTTTTAAGAGTAAGAGGTTTTGTTTTTAAAGCAGGGGTGAGGAACCTAATACCCCAGCTCACGTGAGTGTGGCCCTCGAGACTCAAGGTTCCCACACTAACGCTCTAGCTCCCCTCCAGATTGGTGATAGAAATGTAGCCGTGTTAGCCTGGGGTAGTTGAAGCAAAATGCAGGACAATGTAGCACTTTAAAGACTAACAAGATGGTTTATTAGATGATGAGCTTTCGTGGGCCAGACCCACTTCCTCAGATCAAATAGTGGAAGAAAGTAGTCACAACCATATATACCTAAGAGATGGGATGTTCGTCATAAATATGGTATAACAAGCAAATTCTTCTAGAGTTATGAAGCATGAGGATTTGAGGGTTTTTCAGGAAAGGAGAACAGCATGGAGTAGTTTAAGTCACAGTGCAGAGGCTTGCTTAACAAGGCAACACAGTTCATTCATGCCTGCACAGGAATTGGAGCTTATTCAATCTGTAACCCATGAAGAGCTTCATTACTAGTGACAGCTGCTCAATGTGGGAGTAGCGGACACTCATCTATCCTGTTTCATCAGGCAGAGGAGCACGCACTAAGAAGAGAGAGTATCATATTTGAAAAATGTTGAAAGAAAGAAAGAAAGAAAGAAAGAAAGAAAGAAAGAAAGAAAGAAAGAATGGTGGGAAGTGTGTGAGCCTTTTTTCTTCTGCATGACATATGGAGAAACTATTCAACTCAGGTGAATAAAGAACAATTTAGAGAAAAGGCTTTTTAGTTAAAGATAAAACTCTGAACCCTTCAGTTAAGATGTCACCTCAGAGAACCTCTGCAAATCCCCCATTAAAAATGGAAGACTCCTGATATTTTTAAAGTAATTGTGGTTGGAGTATTTTTTTCGGATTGTATTATTTTTTTTGTTTTTGTTTTACTGCAGGTCTCCTCTGTACATCGCCAGTACTTAAAAAGGGCAAAATACAATTTTATAAATATGCTTATCAGATTTAAGACATAGACCTCACCATTTTTAGTATCCCTAGGTTGATTACCGAAATTCAGTATATCCTGAAACAAAGGCCCAAGAGAGCTCCAACTGGTACAAAAAGATGTAGTAACAAAGATTGCTGTGAGCAGATCATTCTGGCCCCTCATCCATCACACAGTCCATTTCAAGAACTCTTTCCTAACTATTAATACTCTCCCTGGGATTGACATAATCAGCTGAGAGACTGCCTCTCTCTTAGCAACCATAACCTTCCACCACAGCATCTCAATGCTCTATTGGAATAATAAAACTATTGAAAAATCGGGAAGAAGATTCATGTGCACAGGAGACAGAGTTTTATGGGCACTGGACTTAAAACATAGAACTCGAAACTATGAGAGGCAAGAATGATCAGGATGAAATAAAAAATCACTTCAGTTTGGCTTCTCTTAATAGTCCCTCCCTACTTTTTCTTTGTCTCTTTCTTTGTCTCAAATAGACACATGATTTAAAAAAACCCAGACATCTAATGAAATAATAGACTTTTACCTGCCGATCAGAAAGAGCAAGCAAGCACATGAGACATTATAGCGATGTGCATGATAGGTAGCTTAATACGCAGATAGGTAGAATTATAATTTATTTTAGATATTATCTATGGTCTGTACTTTAGTACCAGTTTTATTATATTTTGTTACATTTGCCACGTTTGATTTGCAGAAACATTTTTAGTACTTACTGTGCCAGGTCGTGGATATGGAATTCTTCCCTGATATGGGATTAGCTGGTGGTTAGGACCTTCCTTGTGTGCAAAAGGCCCATTGAACACTGTTTGGATATCAGACCCTTTAAATACAAAACTAAGAAAAAAAAACAAGGAAAATATTTGCACCACAATTGGCCTTTTATATAACATTTGCTGTCATCACAAAGGGTTCATGATGCTAGATGCTCATAGAGATGATACTTTTAATTATATGTGGCACTTGTATAGCATCTTCAATACATGGACCTCAAATGACTTTACACACATTAATCTACACTTACTCTACACAGCACTAACTTACAAGGCTAGGTACTATTTTTCTCACAAAGTGTATCTATCTTTCCAATGAGAGGAGAATATATTATTATCCCCATTTTACAGACGGGGCAAATGGAGGCAGAGACTGGTTAAGTGACCTCCCCTATATTGCACATGAGGTCATAACCTTCTCCCAATGAAATCAGTGGTCAAAATACCACTGACTTCAGTGACACCAGGATTTGATATTCTGTGTGGCTGAACTAGAAATGGAACATCTCTCTCCCAGCCCTCAGTCCATGAGAGTCCATAGGCACCTTATAAAACACCAGGATAGAACATCCATTAAAATAATAAGTGCAGTTAGACTATTGTAATCAGTATTTAGCTTTCTATCAATAATATGGGCTCAGATCATGGTATTACAGTAAAACCCCATTGGTCCGGCATCTGACGGTCCGGCACTCCTGATGGTTCGGCACCATCAGGAACCTGGAAGTGCTCCGCAGCCGGACCATTGGAGCTGCTCTGCCCCCAGCTTCCCCTATTCAGCTGCTGCTAAAACTGACCAGCGGCTGAATCGGGGAAGCCGGAGGCAGAGCAGCTGGGGCGCTGCTGGGTAGGCCCCCTAGTGCTGCCTCTGGGGGCTGCGGGATCAACCCGGCAGCACCCCAGCTGCTCTTGGGGATGCCTGGGGCAGAGCAGCTGGGGTGCTGCCGGGTTGATTCAGTAGCGCCGAGGAGCGGCGGCGCGGGACCAACCCAGCAGCACCCCAGCTGCTCTTGGGGATGCCTGGGGCAGAGCAGCTCTGCTTCAGGCTTCCTGGAGTCAGCTCTTGGTGAATTTCAGCAGCGGCTGAATCAGGATGCCTGGGGTGCTGCCGGGTTGATTCAGTAGCGCCGAGGAGCGGCGGCGCGGGACCAACCCAGCAGCACCCCAGCTGCTCTTGGGGATGCCTGGGGCAGAGCAGCTCTGCTTCAGGCTTCCTGGAGTCAGCTCTTGGTGAATTTCAGCAGCGGCTGAATCAGGATGCCTGGGGTGCTGCCGGGTTGATTCAGTAGCGCCGAGGAGCGGCGGCGCGGGACCAACCCAGCAGCACCCCAGCTGCTCTTGGGGATGCCTGGGGCAGAGCAGCTCTGCTTCAGGCTTCCTGGAGTCAGCTCTTGGTGAATTTCAGCAGCGGCTGACTTGGGAACGCCTGGGGGAGAGCAGCTGGGGTGCTGCCTGGTTGGTCTTACCATGCCAAGGGGCGGCATTACCCCGACCAACCCGGCATCACTCCAGCTGCTCTGCTCCAGGTGTCTCTGATTCAGCCGTTACTGTTCAGTTTCAGCAGCGGTTGAATCAGGGACGCCTGGGGCAGAGCCGGACTATTGGAAGGGGGGGCTATGAGGGGTCTGGGGTGGCACTCCCTCACCCCAGATGCCTCATAGCCGCCCCTTCCGATAGTCCGGCATATCTGATAATCCGGCACCCCCTGGGTCCCAAAGGTGCCATATTATCGGAAGTTTACTGTACTTGGAAACATCACCACAGAGGCGAGGAAACCTCATGAAATTCCCCTTGAAGAATTTCCTCTGCATTCTTCCATCAGGAGTGATGACCTTCCCACAGACTAAACTAGAATTCGGAGCCAGTAACTCCAGGGAATCCCAGGAAATTAGTATGGATCCCGCTGTATAGGCCTTGTGCCTTCACATTTATCTGGGCCTACAGAGGCACTATCTTGGTTCCTTGGTGTGGTGGAGCCATATTGCCAGGGACTTTGCAGTCAGCACATGATTCTAGAACTCTCCATTAAGGATGATTGCCCGTGTGAAGGACATGATTTTCAGTAAGAAGCTAGGATATTGGCTGTTATATTAACAGTCTCCTTCTATCTCCACTGTGAGTGTATTTTTGGGAGAGAGAAAACAGCACGCTTTGAAAGTGTATTCAGAGACAAGCATCCAGACATTCCAGATTTGCTCAATAGTAAGTGGGAAATAAGAAAAATCCAAATTGAAGTTTATTGTACACTGAACAGGTAAAATCTAGCAAAGAATACGGAAAATGTTAAAAATATTTATCCTGCAGTTGTAAGTTGTAGAAAAAACAAATGTCTATACATGTGGTAACTGCTAAAGAACATTACTCAGCAATCATCATTGCACTATTTCACACATGTATTACCTTGAGAAAGCCCTCAGATGTATTATATCCACATGTGTTTTCTGAACCCTCTTTTCAATTGTTTTATGAAATGTTCCCAGGTATTCATGGAAGATATAAGATAAGGTTTAAAGGGTGCACTTGATTACTGCAGTGCATCTTTATTAATTTTATAATAGTTCCTGCTCTAAAAATAATTCACTTCAGTCACAGCCAAGACTGATATAGTTTAGATAAAATTAACAATTATTTTTATCTCGTAGTCTGTTTCTCCAATTACTGTTCTCAGATGAAGTATGCAGAGGTGAAAAAGATACAAGCAGTGCAACAAGATGAAACTCATTATGACTGCTAGATTTAATTACATAACATGTACAATATAGAATTAAAAAACCAGAAGTCTTGTGGTTTGTGGGAACAGAAACCTAGACGAGAGTAAAACCTTGTATAAAGTGAGAAAATGTCTCGAAAGCCTGGAATAGACCAAGTATTCAGTATAGTTTATATGCTGTCTTAACTCAAACTCAATTTCCACTGCAGAAATACCATGAGAATTAGATAGAATAGTTTCCAACTCAGATATGTTGGATCCATAACATAATCATAAGTGTGGTTTTATCACTAAACCTTGCCTCAGCATTTTCTTTTCTTGTGGTATAAGAGTCATACAGTATAGAGAGCCTCCACTATTTACAACAGCGGTTCCCAACTGCTAGTCCATGGACTGGTGCTGGGCCACAAACCTGTGGCTGCCAGGCCACTGAGGCTGCCAGAGCTAAGGGACAGATCAGGGGGCGGGGCTGAGGTACATATTTTGGCAGACAAGCAACATTTATTTTCATATTTACATATTCATTATTTGCATAATGAACATGCAAATATGCAAATAAAATGTTATCAATCTGTCAAAAGTTTGTGAATGGGTTGGCTGGGCTGTGGTATAAAAAAGGCTGGGAACCATTGATTTACAAGCTACAGCAGGGATAGCAACCATGAATAGTCGGTGGGCCACTATCCTCCTTTACTTCAGTGTTCTGCAGGCTTCTGCAGCCCACTGGGGGTCTACCTGTGGGCCCCGCCATCTGCCTACCTTCTCTCCCATGCCTCTTGTGCACTGGGGTACTGGAGCCCCACACTTACCTGCTCCTCAGCCTCCCTCACAGCATTTTCAGAGCATGAAAATTGCCTGATTCACTCTTTGTCCTCTTTCCTCCCTCTACCTCCCGGAGATGGAGCACCACAAACAGCTGATTTGTAGTGTTCCAGGTCTCTGAGGGAGAGAGGGGAAGAAGCTGGGACAGAGTGCAAATAAGGTGATTCATGGCTGCTTTGAAAGTCCTGGCAGGGAGGAAGGAGGTGTAGAAAGTGCAGAGCTCCAGTGCCCCAGTGTGTGAGAGATGAGTGGGGGAGGGGAGCAGCCAGGTGGTCCATGGGTTGCAGGCAGAGTTCCAGACAGTCTCATGCAGCCCATGGGTTGCAGGTTGCCCACTACTGTGATACAGGTTGTTTTTCCCTCAACAAAATATTATAACATTATCCAGGCCTGGGTATTATGTAAGCTTGAGACCTGGACATGTAATTTATGATGGTGATTGATATGATCAGGAAATGACTTTTTCTCATGTAAAAATGTTCAACTGAAATTATTTTTTCATTTTATTTAAAAATGTTCCATAAAAAAATGACCAAAAAGTCAGTTTCAACAAAGTTCTATTTTTTTAACAAAACAACAACAAAAAAGACTTCTAACTGATTTTGTTTTAGCCAGGTCAAGGTAATGGACTGAAATATAAGGCCCAAGATACTTGAGCGTTGTATGTATTAAAAATATATTGATAGACAGGCAATAGCATTTCATTGTTCAGATAACTGGACAAGAGCCAAGAGCAAAAAAACCCAGAACATCAGGATTCAAACAAAGTTAATCTCTGTTGTTTCTCAGAATGACAGCTCACAGGCCAGCAAACATAACATGAAAACCCGACTTTCCTCAAATAATTATCCATTCTTTTCTTAAAGTAAGGCGGGCCCTTATCTCCAATGAGGTGAGGAGTGCCCATGTTTACCAGTGATCAAGAGAAGACTGAAGACACAGGTTGTGATTAAGGAAGGACTTGATCAAACAGAACATAAGGGTGTCTTTTGGGAGCTAATGCCTTATTGGGAACTATTAGCATGAATTTAAATAGAAATTCTGGGCTTGATTGTTCAGGTGCTAAAGACACCAGATGAGATGCTGAGAATTCTCATTGGACATGGTGAAGTCAAACACTATGTCCTTGTTCTTCCCTGCTACCTAATAAAAAGTGTAAATATATGTCAACAACAGGAAACAGTTTCTTTTTAAAAGGTTGGGAGCAGAGGGGAAATTTATCCTAGGTATAATTTTCTTGAACCAACACCAGGGATCAATTTGGCACAATGAGTACAGCTCCAGCATGGTTAATTGTGTTTCTAATTTATGAGTACAAGAAGGACTGAAAGGACCTCTTATAGGTGGTGATGATAGGTGCAGGATATGCCAGTAATGCATTCAGTCCCAATTACCTTGAGACAAAATACCTCTTTTTGTGATTATATGGAATTTGAACCGAGGGAGATTACAGAGCTCTACAAATCTGCAAAATTACCTTGATGTTGTAAAAATTCCATACACCAGTGTTGTTCTAGGGTTATCTGTTTCTAGGAGAAATACATCCTCTGTGAGAAAGAAAGAACACAGCTGTTGAGTAGTTGCTCTACCTTGACTTTCAAACCTCAAAACTTTGGGCCCCATCCCACTCACATTGACCTCCATGGGAATTTTATTTCTGATTCAATGAAAGCAGGGGCAGGCTGTCATAATTAAGGTTGATTGTCGTTAAACTAGTATTTACACATTCAAGGCCAGATTTTCAAATGAACTCAATATACAACTGCCTCTATTTAGACACATGAATAAAAGGATCCAATTTTTAAAATGTACTCACCACCCATCCTCTCCAATTCTCCTCAACAGAACCTCAGCTCATGAAACCATTTAATTGTGTAATTGATCTTAGGCAGATATTTCAATTCTCCTGGAATTGAGGTTACAGTGCTTTCAAAGGTTCATATAATTTAAGGCCAGGAGGATTTACCACTTTCCTTTGGATTTCTTCTAATAGTTAATCCCTTTGGGTACGTCTATACTTGCTACCTACTTCGAACTAGGGATACATATGTAGGCGACCGAAATTGCTAATGAAGCAGGGATTTAAATATCCCACTCTTCATTAGCATGATCTTGCCGACTCAACAGCTGTTTCAAAAGTGAAAGTGCATGCCGGGATGAGTTAGTTCAAACCAAACTCCTTGAGAAGTAACGTCAGTTCGAACCAAGGGGCCTGGTTCGAACTAATGTGTCCCAGCACGCACTTTCACTTTCAAAACAGCTGTTGAGCGGAGCAATGCGCCAGTGAGATCATGCTAATGAAGAGTGGGATATTTAAATCCCTGCTTCATTAGCAATTTCGGTCACCTACATTTGCATCCCTAGTTCAAACTAGGGAGCAAGTGTAGACGTACCCTCTCATTGCTAAAAAAATTAATCCTTTAGTCCTTTGTAGTTTCTTCCCATGAAAATACTAAAACACTGCAGCAAAGTCATCTCTCAATTTCCTTTTTGATAAATTGAGGATAACATTATCCCTTTTTGCCACAGCATTATCCTGGGAGCTCATGATCAGTTGCTAGTTCAATATGATCCCCAAAGCCTTAAATCTCATAGCTAAACATAAGTGCTTTGATGAATAGGGATGGATCAATGAATCAGGGTCCTGGAGCTGTTGAAAGTAGAGCACTTTTGAAAGGTGACTCTCAAAGTATCCCTTAAATTCTGAGTTTGGTCTAGACTCTATTGCTTTCTTTCAATGACTGAGACCAACAATACATGCCATGCAGTGTTTTGTCATAGGATTAAAGTATAGTGATCCAGAACCAGCTTCTGATAATCTGACTCACATGGAACACCAAATTAGGATTTGATCCAACTCCGTCTACCTTCTGTGAGAGACTCTCAATCAAAACAGTTGCACTGAAATATCTGTAACAATCCACAGATTCTGGATCCCACTTACAGTGGTGAAAATCAAGAGCAATGCCACTCAGGTCAGTGTAGTTACATGAGTGTGGAAGCAACATGAATTAGTCAGAATGAGATCTAGTATGTGGTTCATTAGCTAACAACAGATCTTATCTGAAATAGCATTTCTATCTATGATCAAGAGGAGGCGTGCTGGCCAGCATTTGGTGACTAACGGGTTAAACTAGGGGGTGTTGGTAGGAAGCCAAGGGAGCTAGTGGGAAAGAATGTTGAAATTTAAATGGAAAGATATACCAGCCTGCTGTTTATTTTGTGGGAGTTTTAGGAGCTAGGAGCTGGAGAGACAAGATGAATTGAACCAAGAAGAACTACCATGCCTACAAGGAATACTGGGCATGGAAAAGGACCGGACCTTGGAGCACAGATAGTAAGTAGCAAGAAAAATGTCCATTAAGCTGCAATCAGGTTATATTCTTTGTTTTAGTTGTATGGTTAAATGTCTGTGTTCTAAGTCCACTTGCCCCCTTCCAAACACTGTATTACAAGCTGTAGCCCAGAGATACTATTTTCTCTGTATTTTAATCTGTCCTTTTCTCAATTGTTCTGTAACACTTAGGGTACATCTACACTGCAAGCTTCTTTCAGAATAAGCTTTTCTGGAAGATATCTTCTGGAAAAGCTTTTTTAAAAATAAAGCATTCATAATACAGGGAAGCCTCAAAATTAGTCTGAGGCAGGCTCCCCTAATGTGGACACACTATCTCGATTTACAGGAGTCACTGGGGAGGAATAATTTTAGAGTGGCCCTGGTGAGGAGCTATTCAACATAGCAGCAGTGGAGCATCTACATGCACCCTTTTCCGAAAAATCTTTTTAGAAAAAGGGCTTCTTCCTCATGGGATGAGGTTTATTGCTGTCAGAAAGAGCTGTCCGTTATTTCAACTTTCTGTCAAAATAATGCAATTGCAATGTGGATGCTAGTATTGTTTTTCCGGAATAATGGACGTTATTACAGAAAAATGGTGTAGTGTAGATGTACCCTCAGAAATCAAATATGCTTTATCAAGCATATCTTTTTGTTTTGTTAATAAAAATCTCTTTTTAAGGCAATGATTTGATTCTTGAGTCTTGGAAGGTAACAGGAGGTCTGTGTATGCATGCCTAAGACTGAGAGGTCAACTATCAGAGACTGCAGTTTGTTTTTCTTTCTTTATTTCCAGCTCTCTTCTGGTAAAAGAGCTTGAGGGTTCCCCCCTGTAAGAAGTCCAAGTGCTTTCTTCCTGGGTTCAGGTTCATTTGGTGGTGACAGCTACCTCCCAAGGCCAGGGAATCTGTGACTTTGGGGAGCTTTTTAAGCAAAAGTCTACAGAGACAAGGTATTTAAGGTCTCTTCTGGGCCCCCACCTTCTGCACTTGGAGTGCCAGAGTGGGGAACAGCCTTGACACCATCCTTAGCTTCTGAAAGCAAAAGATTCTGCTGTTTATTCATTGATTTAAAGAGGACTAGGGGCAACTGATCAAGGTTTTCATTTGTATTTACTCAGTGGTACACAGATAAGCTCACTTTCCCCAGATGAGGCAAAGCTGAGGTTATCTGTCCAACAAATGGAGTTCAGATCTGTGACAACATCTTAGATAATCAGGCTATGTCTAGACTACAGGGTTTCTTCAAAAAAAAGTGGCCTTTTAAAAAAAAAATTCACCTGCGTCTAGACTGCTGCCGTGTTCTTTCAAAATTAAATCAAAAGGCGGCGGTCTTTTTGACAGCAGTAAACATCATTTTATGAAGAATGCTTTTTTTCAAAAGAGCTCCTTTGAAAAAGGCATTCTTGACCGCAAACAGGGCTTTTTTGAAAGAGAGCATCCAGATTGCCTGGGTGTTCTCTTTCAAAAAAGCAGATTGCTTTTTTGAAAAAAGTTGTGGCTGTCTAAACAATCTCTTTTGAAAGAAGCTTTTTTGAAAACTTTTGAAAAAGCTTCTTTCGAAAGAAGCGTGTAGTCTAGATGTATCCCATTTATTCCTACCTGAAAGTAGGAATAGGGGCCAGTCTAGACGTAGATGTCTACAAACACACATCATTAGATACGTGATCAGGATGTTAATAATCATATTTATTTTGGAGACCCTAACAAAACCTTAAACAAACAAAACATCACACAATTGTTCTGAGGGTGAATTAGTTAATATTTGTAAAAAACTTTGCAGATATAAAAGCATTCATAGATTCTAAGATATTATTCTTAGTAGTACTAGTATTTAGTGTTCTCCTCATCATCAACAATCATTTCTGCTTCCAAAGAGACTTCTACCAAGTGACCCAAAGTAACCTGTCTTGTCATCAAAAAGGCAGTAGTGATGCATCAAAACTGATATACACTACAGTTTAAAATAGTTTAAAAACTACAAGCAAAGATTAATCATGAACATAAATAGGAACAGCAACAATTATACTCTGCATTTACACCTCTCTTTTAATCAGACGCTCTCCCTGGGTGTGTCTAGACTATAGGGTTTTTTTGAAAAAAGCGGCCTTTTTTCAAAAAAAATCTTCCTCTGTCTCTAGACTGCTGCCGCTTTCTTTCAAAAGTAAATTGAAAGAATGTGGCAGTTTTTTCAATCATGAAAAACCTCATTTTATGAGGAATAACGCCTTATTTCAAAAGTGCTCTTTCAAACTGTGCTTTTTTGAAAGAGAGCATCCAGACTGCCTCGCTGCTCTCTTTTGAAAAAGTGGCTCGCTTTTTTGAAAGTACTGGTTGTAGTCTAGATGTTCTTTTTCGAAAGAGGCTTGCAGTCTAGATGTAGCCATGCATGTGTTTTACAAACGTTAAGTGAGCCTCCTAATACTATAGTCCATTTCAAACATTATTATTCCTGCTTCAGAGATGAGGATGATCATTCAGAGAAATTTAAAATAGAATCCTAGTGCTATTAAAATCAATAACATTCTTGGCATGGATTTAATGGGGTCAAGGTTTCACTCGTAGTGACTTTTCCAAGGTGACACAGGGTAGACCTGGGAAACATATTCAGATGACCTTAACTTCCAACATCTGTAGCTTAATCACAAGCATATCTTTTCTTATTTGAAGTTAATATTTTCAAATACACACAGAGAGGTAACATGACTTGAATACTTGTAAAGACTATACTGTTATACCTAATTCATCAAAGTACGTTTCTGTTCCATCCTCATCCATTACTGAGCACACGAGTCTTGCTTTCAAGAATGTCGTCCACTTGTTTACAAGACTACGCTGTCCGCCAGTATCATTCTGAAAAGCAAAATGAATTTGAAAAAAGTATAACAAAGCAAAATTAAAATCTTACTTAATCCCTGCAATCATTTTTCATGTTATGATGATCCATCATCTGGCAAATACCTTGCTAATATTAAAGAAAAGAATCAGAGATAGGCATGAAGCAAACCCGTCTCAAACACCCCCAAACACAGACACAGTTATAAATGCTGAAATTGAGGACTATCTTTAGTAATGAAAGATAATTAAAGTTCCACTCTATAAAATGGCTTCAGAGAGAGACCAGACAACAACAGTGTTAGTTTTTTAAGCTTGTTAGATCTCAGACTTCAGGATTTAGAACAAGCACTAACTATTAGTGATGATAGAAGACCTCATGTGGAGGGCAGATTATCTCATATCTGCCTAAGGCAAAGTTTTATGCACCATCCTCTGAAGCATCTGGAATTGAGTCCCATCAGAAATGAGACACAGGACTAGCTGGCCTCTGGGTCTTATCCATAATAGTAATTCCTATATTACCTATGTTTATCTATGAAATCTTTTCTACACAGCCCTGAATGCCATTCCTTTTATTTGTCAGAATAACATTAACAATATAAAATACAGGACTATGTAGCACTTTAAAGACTAACAAGATGGTTTATTAGATGATGCGCTTTTGTGGGCCAGACCCACTTCCTCAGATGTGAGGAAGTGGGTCTGGCCCACGAAAGCTCATCATCTAATATTCCAATCATAGTCATTCAGATTCTTCTCTGTGTCCTCCAGTGGATATAATAGATAGAACAGATTTTACAACTTTTCTGAGGAAGTACAACAATCAGCTGGACACTCCTATTTGTCACCCAGCCAGACAGTAAACAACATGTGTTTAATGTTAGCTGTGATTACAAGAAGCACAGGCACAATAACCAATAATGTATGAAAACACATATTTAACTGAGCTCTCGCCATGATGAATCATGCGAACTATTTATTTAAATCAGATTGTTAGTGACTCTATTTAGAACTTATATGAATCATGCGAACTATTTATTTAAATCAGATTGTGACTCTATTTAGAACTTACGCATCATAAAACACTAGCAAATAACATTTATGCTACTATTAATCTTGTTTCCAACAGTCCAAATGCCTTCATTTCTGTACGTTTATATTACTGTTGAGCACAATTGGTATCTGCAAGCAGGCCCACTGATGGAAGGGCAGCAGAGGAGGCAACTGCCCCTAGGTGCAGCAATTCTAAATGATCTCAGGCTTCTGGTTGCCACCGAGGCAACTGCCCCTAGGTGCAGCAATTCTAAAGGATCTCAGGCTTCTGGTTGCTACTACTGCTACTGTGGCAATAGTAGTGTCCAGGCCCTTTATGGCACTGACAGAATACATGGTGCACATTCTGGGCAGCTCTAGGAGCTGGCGAGGGAGGGGGTTGTTGTGGTGCACTCCAGGTGCACTGAGGGCTAGCTGCCCTGGCACCGTCCTTTCCACCCAAGGCCCCGCCCTCCCTAGAAGCATGGAGCCGGGCCCTACCATTGTGCCCACGGGCCCAGCCTGGCTGTCAACTCTGCTGTTAGCAAGTCTAAAGTGGGTGCACAAGAACATATATACTTTTAAATGTGTGGCCTTTGAAAATCAGGCCTTTAATATTTATTTTAATAAAAATCAGTTTAAAATGTGTTTGGCATATAGAGTATGGATCACAGTGAATTATTTTAGGAAAATTTGAGGTGGAATCAGAACAATTGTTTACAGCAAAATTCACCCCTTAGTTTCCAGTTCTCCAGTCATTTCTCATTGACAGGGTCTGTGAAGATGAACTATTTTAATTAACAGAACTAAGAGGAAAGTGCTGCTTTAATAGATTCATTGATGAAATAAGATATGATGCATGTAAGATAAAATAACTGGTAAAACATAACAATGCCAGAGCTGGACAAAAATGTCATTAATATAGTTGTCAAGTATTTGTTATCTGAGCACAAGTGACAGGGAAGGCTCCATTCCTAAGACCTAAATAACTAATTTTGTTTTATATAAAGCATGGCAAAAATGGGACTATGTTTTGTAAAAACTCGTTATCAAAATGATGTTAATTTTTTTTACCAGTTTAATTCTGCCTTTAATGGGCACATGAAAAAGGAGTTCTGTCCTGCTAGAAAGAGGGGAAGGTGACCTCTCTCATTTTAAACTGGAACTAAGACTTTTCAGCAGTCGGTGAAACTTTATTAGCAGCTGGACCAACAGGCTCAAGAGGCTTGACTATTAACTTCTGTGCTGCCACAAATGCTGTTAGAACAGGTCTCCTTAACTGACTGAAAGTTAGCAGAGCTCATTGCAAGTCAGGCTGATACCTTGTAGCAATGTTTACTCCTTATGGAGGCTGTTACAGTAGATCACTATCAACATGAAGGATCAGCTCTTTGTTCCCTTTAGAATCTATAGGAATTTGCCATTGACTTCAATGTAAGCACAATGAGGCCCAAGTCGTTTTGGAAGCAATCTGGACTTCATTATAATAACAACAACAACAATAACATCCTAACAACGTTTAATGTCTTTTTGAAAAATACCCAGAGGCCATTGGGCAGCTACCCAAAAAAACAAAAAACAATATTATGAGACTAGGTCATATGTCATAATGTACTGCCAGAGCAGGAACCGAACGAAAACCAAAGCACACACCCATTCCCCTGCAGAGCCACATCACAACCATACTGAATACAAAGCACATTGTAACTGGGGGCAGTAGCTTCAACTTGATCTCCAGTTTTATTCCTAGGTAAGGAATCAAGGGCTTATCAGAAACAGAGCCTTATACCCTTTTACATTTACATGAGTCTATGTCCTCAGAATAAAAGGTAGTTGCTTCACTCACAGTGCATGCAAAATTAACTCTGGTTACAGAAAAAAGAGAAATAAAGGTAATTTAGTTATAAGGTCCTGTTTCTGCACGGACATGCATATGCTTAACTTTATCCAGCTGAAATGAATTGAACTATTCTTAAAATTAAACATGTGCATAAGTGTAATTGTTTTAAGAATAAAAACCATGCTTTCAAATGCCTTTACACTGGAATTCTTGTGGGAGATTTGGTACATCCATGATTCAGTAAATCTCACATCTGAATTATGTAAAATAAAGCAAGCTCAGGAAGTTAATGTTATTAACTATACTGTTCCAGACACTGAGATGCACAGATTAATCAACTGCTAATATTCCTACTAAAATTACAGATATATTCCAGATATCTCTAACAAGGTACTCAACAGCCTTTCTTCTTAATTATGGAGATGGAAGCCGGAACAGGAAATTTGCTTGTAATTGGAATTAAGGGCTTTTAAAACATTTTAATGCAATGGATTTATTTTGATTATTCAATCAAGCCAGTAAATCAGCCCCTGAAAATTGAACAAAAATTATTCTTACTGGGCATATTCTAGCAATCATTGAATGAATCTGTTTGGTGCTTCCACTGTTGTCTATGAGCCTTTCTTTGAAGAAGAAGTACACTTTAGCATCATTAGGGTCTGTGCCGTCAGGGATGAGATGAGCATCTACAAAAATAGGGTCTGAAAAGAGAGAGATAAAGACCAAACAATGTGTCAATATAAGGAACTCTTGACAACTACTGACATCTCCAGGTACCTACACAGAATGCATCTGCTGCTGCCCACTGTGTTAGGGCTGGGCCCTAGTTGGGTTAAGCACTAGTGACAGGGTTTTCAGGACAGGGATCTGGGATGGTTTCTCTAGAATCAAGTTGATTCTAGAACAAATTTGTCCTAGTTTTCAAAAAAGTATGTCTGATGCAGAAATAGCAGTGCTAGTTTACTACAGAGATAGAAAACCTTGAAGGAGAAGTATCCTCTGGAAATTTTCTTGGCTACAAGCTATTGAACAGCATTTGAGACATCAAATGACATTTTTTTCTCCACTTGAACGGTTGATATCCAGTACAAACCGCTATTGATTTTTTGGTGTGATCTCTGATGGAAAAGTCACATTTTCATTTTGGATATTTTCTATCCTCTTCAGTCCATTATTAATGGATATGTCAAATTTCATGTTGCTAGAGAGGAGCAATATAGAAACGCATTGTGTGTGATTTTTCAAGCAACTGTATTTTTTAAAATGAACTCTTTTCTGTGCAGTCTATTTTTTTAAGATCCCTAAAAGAGAATAGGCAAGCTTAAGAGAATAAAGATATCTAGTGACAAATTTTAGTCTCAGAGAGGTAGCCATGTTAATCTGTATCTGCAAAATCAACAAGGAATCCTGTAGCACCTTAACCCTGGTCTACACTAGGTAGTTATTTCAAAATAACTCCCCTTATTTTGACATAACAAGTGAGCGTCCACACTACCAAGCCTGTTATTCTGAAATAGAGGCTGATTATTTTGAAATAATAATTCCTTCTTTCCTTGGGAAATAAGCTTATTTTAAAATAGCTATTTCAGGAGTTATTATTTTGAAATAATTTCCTACTGCAGACATGCCCTTAGGCTATATCTACACTACAAGGTTATTTCAAAATAAATTATTTTAAAATAATAACTCCCGAAATAACTATTTCAAAATAAGCTCATTCCTCTTCACAATCAGGAGTTATTCTTTCAAAATAACAAGCCATTATTTCGAAATAAGGGGAGTTATTCTGAAATAACTCCCCAGTGTAGCCATGCCTTAGTTTCTAAGGTGCCACAGAGCTCCTCATTGTTTCGACTAATTTCAGAAAACAGATAGAGTTAACTTTAACCTAGCAAAATCAATGGGACTATTCATGTTCTGAAAATGAAACATGGTCATGGAGTATAGCTGTTTTAAGAATAAAATAATGCAGAGTACATAGGCCTTGTGTGAGGTCCTGGCCTCACAGATGTTTTGGGAGTTGTTCCACTGATTTCAACAAAGCCAGGGTTTTAACTCCTTGCACCTCAGCATTGCCCAGAGATGACTTTTCCTCACTGTGCCAGTCTGTAACAATCACATTATTATAATCACTTTTCCAATATAAAACAATCTCAAATTATTGGGGGTTAAAAAAAACTTCCCCAGGAGGCAAATTAGCCTACACCTGTCTATTACACATCCTTCCCTCTAAAGCAGGTAATATGGGCCACTTCAAGGACAGCATACTGAAGTTGATGAATCAGGGGTCTCGTCCAATATGGCAATTCCTGTGTCATATAGAATTCCTATTAATCATTTACAGAGTGCGTTGTCTGGGGTATGTTTTTATTTCTATTTCTGGCCCACCGTTTCCATTAGTAGATTTATTTTAGAATGGGAGATAAAGAACTCATTTAAAAAACCCAACAACCTTTATCTTAGTCACACACCAAAAACTTAAACAAAGAATTGTCTTACCACTCAGCCACTTAGAATTGTGTTGGTCAGTTCTCACTGCATTCCGTTTGGTTAAACTGCGAAAAATAGCTGCATCAGTACCCATGAAATCTATGTACATTCCTGAAAACAGCTCTTCATCTATAAGAAAGTAGAAAAGGAAACAGGAAAAAAATCTGAATGTGTCTATATTGGCTTTTGGGAAATCCATTTCTAGTAACCTATTTTTGCTTCAGACAGTGCCAGTTCTTTATTTGTATAGCAGTCACTATAAAACAATACTGGGTGGGTGGCAATGGAGTCTCCTCTGAATCATGGAGCAATTGTCTAGCCTGAGAAGGAAGCATAAGATATTTCTAAGGACTTTTGGAAACTCCATAATTAAATGTAGCAGCTAGTTTCATGTGTGGTAAACTTTTCATTTGAATTACAACTTAGGGACTGAACTTACATTGCCAAACACCTATGCACAGACAAGGCAATAACAATACAAGGCATAAAATTCAGTGTTTTACCAGGCCAGTATTTGCGAGTGTAACTTGGCGTACTTCCAATTGAAGTCAATAGGGTTGCACCATTTTCAAGATGGACTTCGGCCTCAAGCACAGTTCTGTATTGCAGAAACTGGAAGAGGATGCTTGTAACATGGCTCAGTGTAATTGGAAAGTAACCAATATCCACCTTACACACTACAGTCAAAGTACATTTCAATGTGGCATGACGGGAATTAGCCATGAAACTCCCATTTACTTTAATAGGATTAGGCACCTCAATTTCCTGTGCAGGATTCTGAAAATTCAGAGAGAGAAAGTGTGTGTGTGTGTGTGTGAGCAAAGCCATTTCCACTGGCTAATGGTAAGACACCCCAGAGTACAACACAATGCAGAACAAAAATAATCTTCAACTCCTGTGCTGGGAGTGGTGGCTGAATGAATCGTTAAACAGCTAAGTCCTTTCACTGATGTTTTCACCCAAATGTCTGTGTGGCCATGAGTATGTGTGGTCAAGCTGGCAAGAGTCATAATTTTTGAAGCAGTTGAGGATTTAATTTTTCTTGTTCGTTCAATATTAAGAACTACCAATTGACCTCTGAGGCTACATCTATACTACACATTTTTATGGCAGAAAATATGCTAATGAGGGACTCATTAGCATAATTCACAGTCTCATTAGCATATTTTCTGCTGTTTCTTTTTGCGCAAGGGGTTTTTGCGCAAAAATAAGTAGTGTAGCTACTTCTCTTTTGTGCAAAAAACACATTTTGCGCAAGATCTTTATACTTCTCTGGCATAAGGATCTTGCGCAAAACAGAGTTTTTGCACAAAACGGTAGCGGCTAAATTAGCAAATTTTTGCCGCAAAAACCTGTAGTGTAGATGTAGCCTGAGAGATGAAAACTCTAGAGGGTTTTTTTTTTCTTCATTGCTTGCCAGGTCATGAACCAGATCTCTACAGTTGGTAAAGCTGGGACTCAGTGTATAAGAGAATGCATTGCACAGGGCTAACAATGAGTAGAGTAGAGAGGTATTTAAACAATGTGGTTTATTCCACGATTTATGTAACTGTATACAATGCTGCTAGATCAATAGAGACTTATTACGAAGCTTTCTACATCAGTATGATTACTTCCAAAACCATCTGGTGTCTTATTCCTGTTCTTAACTAGACTGACTGCAGTGGATCGTGGCTACGGTTCTCACAGCACTTTCATGTTCATTCCTGGAAAAAATAAAAAGCCTGGAATGGGGCTATGTAATTCTTAATCCTATTGCATACCAGCTTTATTAGTTATGTCTTAAGCATTCCTAGAGCCTACTAGTCTAATCAGGTACCAAATGACATCTGTCAGCTCCACTTCCTTTTGGTTTAATGCTTAAATTCCACACAACAGTTTGTCTTTGCTGGGTAACCAGTTCACACTGTTTCTCTTTGTTACTGAGGGAATTACTGAATTGATGTATGTCTGCTCTTGTAAATACCTGTGAGCATTGGTTGCGGAAAGAAAGGGAGCATGGATGTTAATCATGCCTTGCCCTCCCAAAGATACATTTTTCATAGCTTTGCTTCTAAAGCATTTTTAATAGCTTTGCTTCTAAAGCATTTGTTGTAGAATGGTGTATTTCTCCGACCTTCAAATTTGTTTGTCATGTGGTGTTTTCCTCTGTGGGACCATTCACATTTCCTGTTATATTTCAAGCTTGTGTTCTATGTTGTATAGGTGGAAGGCGATGCCAGAAATCGACAAGAAACAGGGACCACACTATAAAAGGTTTATGTCATTATACTTTATTAGTTCCAGAAGTATTCCTTAGTTGAGGAAGAGGGAGGAAACAAGATCTTGTGATTAACGCACTTATCTAGGCCCAAAGAGCTCTGGGTTCAATTCCCAGATCTGTCTTTGGCTTCCTAGCTACTCAATCTCTTTACTCTTCCCCTCCTAGCAGTGTATTTCTCCAACCAGTTGAATCTTTTTTAAAATAAACTTTTTAAAGTGTGAGCGCTGTACATTGTGTATCCCAAATAATTCAAAGTTCAGGGAGAAATACTGCTTTGGGTATTGACTAGATATTGGGGCCTGCTCATAGGGATGTAAGGGTTTAAATGTTTAACTGATTAGCATTAGTTTACTGGTTAACCTTCCTGTTAAACTCTTGGCCACCTCTCGGAGCCCACTGGGCAGGCACCTGCAGAGAGCCCATAGAGCATTTAACTGTGTAACTGACTGAATTTCAATCGATTACACAATTAATGTTTTTAAACATTTTTTACATCTCTATCTGCTCAGCCACTTGATTGGGTGATTAAAGTTGATAAAATAACTTCTATTAAAATGAAGAAAATTCCCTTGTGTTCAAAAGAGAAAAGACTTTGTCTAACTGTACATCCTGTATCTTAGAAATAAAATACTTTAATGGGCATTCATAAAACTCAGGACAAAAAAGGAAACTTTGTTCTTTGATGGCAGTAACTCATTTAAGAATATGAAAACTGTATCTGGCATTTATGAGTGGACTAGTCTATAAGGGCATGTCTGGACAGCAGGGCTATTTCCTACTCTGTGTCTTTTAAACACGCCCATTATTTTAAAATAGATTTCAAATTAACAGGTGCTCTATTCCATCATCCCTGTAGCCCTTATTCCATGAGGTTATAGGGATGTCTCAAAACAGCATGTTATTTCAAAATTTGGAGCTGTGTATATAGTGCAAAATTTTGAAATAAGCTATTTTGAAATATTTTGCATAGCGCAAATTGCATAGCTTATTCTGAGATAAGGGTGCTGTCTAGATGCAGCCTAAGTGACTGGAATCCAATTCCTTTACATGCTGCACATAGATCATTGATGAGGTAAGATGGAAATGCAGCCAATTTAATGAGGTGGAATATCGCACTAGAGAAGTGACCTTTCCCCTTCTTCTATGCAGACTGGAATCCCCTTCCGCCAAGACCTCTGCTCACTACAATACCAGGTGGCCTTGGAACTTTACATTTTACAGTTAAGATACTGGGACAATTCTGTCAAGTTCCTTATTTTTTATAGAGATTTGAAGAGAGTATAATGGACCTGTCCCTGAAGTCCTGATCTTTCACTGGAATGAAAGCCTGGCACTGTTACCGCTCATTGACTTCAATGGGAATGGAATGGCTAAGACACCACTTGGTGCTACAGTGAAAACCGAAGGATAAGGGCCTCACAACTTTGTGTGCGGTTACTGTGAAACTCAACATACTGTACACAGAGGTCAACAGAATTCTTCTCTTTGTTAAAGAAAGCCCTAAGTAAGATTGAGAAATCAGTGCAACTCCTGCTCTTTCTATTGGCTAAAAACACAGCATGTTCTGAGGTGTGAATAGCAGTGTGCACCACAGTGCTGTGCTGTAACTCCCCCATGTGGATGCTGCAGGCATGAACTGAAAGAGTCCTGGTTCTCATTTATGTAGTCCTACATTAATACCGACTAGGAACCATTTACTTCCTAACCGTGACTCTGCACAGGGGAGTTGCATCATAGTATTTTGGTGCTCACTGTTATTCACGCCCCTGGAGTGACAGCTATGGGGCAGCAAGGATGGGCCTTCAGAGATCAGGGATTAGACACAGATTCAGAATGCAGTAGTCGCTGACCACACTGCAAATCTAATCTACACAGGTTACATATGTCTCCACTGCACGTTCAAGAGCCCCCACGTGGCTGCTGCTCCTGCCTGGCTCCTAGCATCATTGTAAGAATGTACTGCAGGCTGTGAATAGGCAGAAGGCAAACGACACAATCACTTGAGCATGCTTAAGGAATTCAGGGCAACGTTTAAATTAATCATCTAAGTCCTGGCATTCCAAAGTAAATTCTTTGCATTCCTTGCTGTGGAAAGCTAGTGAGGAGTTCATTATGGACTGACTAACCCAGAGTTATGGCTAAAGCATATCATGCTTCAGTCTGGGAGATCTGAGGCTCTGATTACTCCTTGCCCTGTTTCTGCTGTGATGTTTTTCACCAATGCAAAGCCAGTGCAGGTGATGATACAACGTTGCTAAATCAAAGTGATCGGGCCTGATTCTCCTCTGCATTAAGGCCATATTGTACATTTTTATCCACATAAAGGATCCTTATACTACAACCAGAATATAGAATGGTCTTAGTGTAACCCAGAACGAGGCCTGTATTGTGTTACACCCGTTTTACTCTGGCATATTTTCCAGCCCATAGACCACTGGAGATCGGGCATGTTGAAGTGGGGATATGTTGATTTCTCCAGCTGGAATGTGGGAGAAATCTGTTCTCTTACCAGGTGAAATTCACCCCTCTGCAAAGGGCTACACCCATCCTGAGCCCCACTTCAGTCTCAGCAGAAGCTTAAATGGGATTTACGTGGGGGCATTGGCATTGTGCTGGCTGTGTGTGCTAAGATTTCACTCTCAGCGAACTCTCAGCCAGACAGCCCATAGTGAGATGTCAAGGGAACCAGCTGTTGCACTCTCTGCCCTTTCATATGGAAGCGAGCTGCTAAATTTATAGTCAATGATACAGTGGAGGTGGGAGTGGGTAGAAAAGCCAGGCACAGAGGGAAGAGCCTAGCTAGTGCTGGTGGCCTCTGCAGCAGACAGCATACATGAAATGCAGAATAACTCGAGAGATTTTCCAGCAGGCTTTGCTTTTCTAGCTACATGGTGATTTTACAAGTGATTAAATGAGACACAAGAAATGGCCATGATGAATGAGGTCACAAAGCATTTCAAACATGGTTAACATATTTAAAAGTTGAAGCTAACCCTGGGAAAATGTGAAAGATAAAAAGGGGACAATCTTTTGCTCTCTGTTCCTCCCTGCCTCATTGCTGATCCCTTCTGCATTTCCTTCACACGTTCATGCTTAGCGCCATGAAGACTTTCAAAAGATGCCTGACAAGCAGTATGAACATAATGGTTTCTTTTTCATGGCCTATCCCCTCGTGTTCCATTTGTTTATAATACCCCATCATTTCACACCCTGCACAGTAATAATGAGTTAAGCCTCCGGGATCTGTGATTATTTTACTTACTGATCATAACAGATACCGTGTTCACATTAGGGTTGAAAGAGCAGCGTCCCTTCCCTGATTCACACTTGGAGTCGATCATGAAGACTTGCTCCTGTAATACAGACAGGCATGTCACTGCTGTTCTATAGAAACCTTAGTAAATGAAAATGAGAGTCTGAGAAGGCTTTTTCCCTCTGTTCTTCTGGATAATAAGCACAGTCAGCTTTTCACTTAACTACTTAATAAATCTGTCTTATGATGAGTTTTCACAATCTTCTCACTTGTACAAATTATTTTCACTGTAATTACAAATGCAATGCACTCTCAAATGTAGGGAATGTTCTCCCAGCTTAACTGAATGAGCTGTTCTCTCTGTGGTCCACCTAGCTTATATGTCAGCAATAACATCGACAGACATTTTTTCTGTAGCCTTGAAATTATCTATGAATTATTTGATGAATTCGTGCTGGCATTTATATCAGGGTCCTAGCCTAAAGCACTTGCAATAAACCACTCTAGTAATAATACACAAGAATGCAAGCTTCTCGTTATATTTGTCAGCTTGTCATACTATAAATCACTAGTGTCTAGGGTTTTATAACTATTTAGATGTTTCTGTGCTCAGCATTGTAATGCCTAACTGCTGTAGAAGTCTAAATGTCAATTTCAAAAGAGATTAAGTCACTTAGGAATCTAAATTCTTCACTAATCAATAGCCCAATTCTCTTTTGAAAATGAGACTCAGGATTCTAAATCAGTTAGGTATTGCCACATTGAATGCAATGACATTAATAGGAGCCTTGCCAGCAGATCTAGGGGAGTAATTATTCCCCTTTATTCGGCACTGGTAAGGCCACATCTGGAGTATTGCATCCAATTTAGGAGCCCCTATTACAGAAAAGATGTGGGCACACTGAAGAGAGTCCAGCAGAGAGCAACAAAATTATTAGGGGGCTGGAGCACATGACTTATGAGGAGAGGCTGAGGGATTTGGGCTTATTTAGTGTACAGAAGAGAGGAAGGAGGGGGCATTTGATAGCTGTTTTCAACTACCTGGGGGAGGGTTCCAAAGAGAACGGAGAGAAGCTGCTCTCAGTGGTGACAGATGACAGAACAAGAAACGGAAATTAGGAAAAACTATTTCACTAGGAGGGTGGTGAAGCACTGGAATGGGTTACCTAGGGAGGTGGTTGAATCTCCATTCCTAAATGTTTTTAAATCCTGGCTTGACAAAGCCCTGACTGGGATGATTTAGTTGGGATTGATCGTGTTTTTAGCACGGGGTTGGATTCAAAGACCTCCCGGGGGCTCTTCCAATCCTATGATTTTATGATCTAAACAGCTTTTAAAAACATGAGGCAGGCTCCTTACCACACTTCCAAAATAATTTCTAAAACACGCTCTTTTTCTTCAAAGCACTATCTCTTGGATTAGTCCCATTACTCAGACACCACAGTGGAAGGCCCCTTATAAATACTAAAAGCAGGTGGAAGACTAGCTCTTTTGCTCATGTTACAAAACTGAGCAATTTTATTTAGATAGTGAAGGACTTTCTACAGGTCATATGCAGCACTACAACTCAAAAATGGATGAAGTGTTTAGAGTAAGAAGAAATATGTATCAGTTCCTTGAACAGACACAGTCTGATCATATTTGGGTGAACTTGCTTTCCCACCCCATCTTGGTGCTCCTCTTATTTTGCTAATTACAGCCAGGACCTGAAAACAAATTGCAAGGGTAAGTAAGGATTTTAGGATACATCTGTCCCAATCAGAAACAAGTCATTCACAAACTAAAAGGTAAGCCAATCAGAATGAAGGTTTTGTGATATGATAGACAATCCAATAGAAACTGGAGTGAATCCTGTGACTCCAGCAGACCAGGTGCCAGTTCATGCCATAGCCCTTAGATCTCAACTAAACAGAGAAAAATACATAGTTGGAAGTCTAACGTCAGTACCTGGCAAATTAGTTGAAACTATATTACAGAATGAAATTGTCAGACATATAGATGAATATAATTTGTTGGGGGAAAGTCAACATGGTTTCTGTAAAAGAAAATCATGCCTTACTAATCTGCTAGAGTTTTTTGAGGGGGTCAACAAACATGTGGATAAGGGGGATCCAGTGGATATAGTATACTTAGATTTCCAGAAAGCCTTTGACAAGGTCCCTCACTAAAGGCTCTTAAGTAAAGTAAGTTGTCATGGGATAAGTGGAAAGGTCCTTTCGTGGACTGATAACTGGTTAAAAGACAGGAAACAAAGGGTAGGAATAAATGGTAAGTTTTCCGAGTGGAGAGAGGTAATTAGTGGTGTCCCCCAAGGGTCTGTCCTTGAACCAATCCTACTCAATTTATTTATAAATGATCTAGAGAAAGGGGGTAAAAAGTGAGGTGGCAAAATTTGCAGATGATACCAAACTGCTCAAGATAGTTAAGACCACAACAGCCTGTGAAGAGCTTCAAAAAGATCTCACCAAACTAAGTGCTTGGGCAACAAAATGGCAAATGTTGATAAATATAAAGTAGTGCACATTGGAAAAAATAATCCCAACTATACATACAATATGATGGGGACTAATTTGCCTAAAGCTACTCAAGAGAAAGATATTGGAGTCATTGTGGGTAGTTCTCTGAAAACATCCACTCAGTGTGCAGCAGGAGTCAAAAAAGCAAATAGAATGTTAGGAGTCATTAAAAAAGGAATAGAGAATATGACAGAGAATATCTTATTGCCTCTATATAAAACAATGGTACGCCCACATCTTGAATACTGCATACAGATGTAGTCGCCTCATCTCAAATAGGATATATTGGCATTGGAAAAGGTTCAGAAAAAGGCAACAAAAATTATTAGGGGTTTGGAACAGATCCCATATGAAGAGAGATTAAAAATACTTGGACTTTTCAGCTTAGAAAAGAGAAGACTAAGGGGCGATATGATAGAGGTCTATAAAATCATGACTGCTATGGAAAAAGTGAATATGGAAAAGTTATGTACTTATTCCCACAATATAAAAACTAGGGGTCACCAAATGAAATGAATAGGCAGCAGGTTTAAACCAAACAAAAGGAAGTTTTTCTTCACTCAGCGCACAGTCAACCCATGGAACTCCTTGCCAGAGGATGCGGTGAAAGCTAGAACTTTAACAGGGTTCAAAAAAGAGCTAGATAGATTCATGGAGGTTAGGTCCATGAATGGCTGTTAGCCAGGATGGGTAGGAATGATATCCCTAGCCTGTGTTTCTCTGAAAGTGGGTGACAGGGGAGAAATCACGTTAGGATTACCTGTTGTGATCCCTCCCTCTGGGGGATCTGGTATTGGCCACTGTCAGTAAACAGGACACTGGGTTATATGGACCAGGTATATCTGCCCCAGTATGGCCGTTCTCATTTTCTTATGTAACCCCTGCTTGCCCCATGTTGTGTATGTTCCTGCAGCTGTGTAACTTGTAAATGACCAGTCAGGAGAAAAGCATCCCCAAGAGTAAAATACTTGCTTTCCACAGGAGGTGTTTTCTCCTGACCCCTAAAATAAGACCTTTTGGAACCTCAGAAAAAGACTTTGTGATTGCTCCTCCATTGACCAGGAAGAGAAGACTTGCAACTGACTTCCTCCCAGTGTCTAAACTTGCAACTCAAAGAGGAAGGGGAAGGAGATATAAATCCCTAACAAGGAAATTCTGTATCTTTTATCCTGCTTGGATACCGAGGAACAAGGATTAGTTAGCATACACAAAGGATCCCCAGTGCTTATTACCCTCTGAAACATAAGACTGGAATTTATTGAACACATGTTTACATGCTTTAACCTTGAAATAACTTATTTCTTTTTTCTAGTTTATAAATCTTTAGTAGTTTATTATAGAACTGTCTACCAGTGTGTGATATAAAGTGTAACTGACCGAAGTGCAACTGACTATTCCTTTGGAACTGGGAGTACCCACAATATCGCTGTTGGTATAAGCAACTGTCTATCACAAACGTAAGCTTACCTGGGTGACAAAATAGATCAGAGTACCCCAAGGGGCCTGTCTATGACTCCACGTTAGAGTTAATATCCTACCTGAGGAATTCATACTTGATAATGTGTTGATGCAGTCTAAGTACAGAACTCACAACCAGTATGGGGTTGATGCCCTACTTCTTAACCATCTGCCCTGAGGATAGTAATCATGCTCTTTAGCCATTATAGGACACTTTGAGAAGAGCACCAATCCATTAGTTTCTCTTTTCCTGATAAAGACAAATGATAGTGGTGCCTAAATGCCACACTAAACTACAGGTTAAAAATCCACGGTCCACCGTGATATTAATTAGTTGGATGTCCACTTATCATGGGGATGGCTAAATTTCCTGTGGTCCCATAAATTTTTAAAGTCATGAGTCCTGGCTCTCAAGTGTTCTGTGCTGTTATTTAGGTGTAACTTACTCCTAAATGTCTTCTAAGAGCTCACTAAACAGTGGAAGTGCAAGTAATGCTGTTAGACAATATTGACTTCCCATACGCCGGCAAATTCTCTGGTTTGGCATCTCTCTGGTCCTGAGGGTGCTGGACTAGAGAGGTTCAACCTATTCCATCTGAGTAGAATAAATTAGGTCTCTACTCACTTGAGAGAGTTGTAATGTTCACTGAGGGTGCATCTACACTGCACCGTTATTTTGAGATAACTAGCGTTATTTCAAAATAATTTCAAAATAACGGATGGCTTATTCCAAAATCTGTAAAACTCATTCTATGAGGAATAACACCCATTCTGGAATAGCTATTTCGAAATAAGGTATGTGTGGACGCTCCACTGCTGCTATTTTCAAATATCCCCTCACCAGGGCCATTTTAAGTTATTCCTCCCCAGTGCGTCCTCGGGCTCTAAATCGAGACCGCACATCTACATTAGGGAAGCCTGCCTCGGACTAATTTTGAGGCTTCTCTGTGGTGTAGACGTGCTATTTTGAAATAAGCTATTTCAGAGTATATCTTCCAGAATAGCTTATTTCGAAATAAGCATGCAGTGTAGACGTACCCTTAGAGCTGTAAGTTCCCATATTCCCTTAGTGCCTGACTATCTATCTGTAGTTTGACACTGATGTATATTACTATTGTATGCTTACTGAACGCTACTTCAAAAAGCCCAAGCATTGCACTGGTAATACGCCAGAAGCTTACGTTATTTTTTCTTGGCTCATCATGAATCCATACAATCATAACATCTGCTTCTACTTGCATCCACTCTCATATTGGAATAACCCTTGATTCAGTTCACTGTAAACATATTCTGCAAATGATTACCCTTTTCCTCACCTGTTCTTGCAGGAAGAGCCAAACCCAAGTTTACATTTTATGATGGCAAGAGGGGCATTCAGCTCTGTCCCTACAAAGAACATTTTTCTTTTGTCCAGTGTATCAGGGCACAAGATGAGGAAAGAAAAGTTTTCATAAGTTGCGTAGGGAAATCCAGTTTAACCAGTGAGGGCTCAGTGGCTGGGAACGTGATGCCCTCTTGCAATCACACACTAGCCAAAGCCTGAGCCCAGGCTCCCAGCAGTGCTAGGCTATAATGCTCTCATGCTGGGTGGTTCTTTATGGTTTCAAGGGAGTGTTTGCAGCAGAAATAGATGGGCATGTTTAAAATAGTAATTTTACACCTGCAAAAACAAACGTTTGTTTGTGGAAAACAGTGACAAATTTGAGGTGAAATCATGGTTTTTGCAAAAGCAAAGGAAACATAATGTCTCAATAGTTCCACCAGCACCACATAATTTTTCACTCGGCTCTCCTAATTAGGCATTTGCAATAGGCATAGAGGGAAATACTTGAATTTAAATCTATACTCTTTAAAGTGCTTTGCTATTGTTGGCCTGGACAGCTCCAGCAATGAGAGCGCAGTGCCTACAGTCAAGTGTCTGACAGACTCCAGACGTCTGAGACAGCAGTTTATTTAATCAATTGATCATAGGCATGTAGATACAAAGGCAGGCTAAGGGAAGCCAATGCTACATTTCCAAGATATGTATCTTTATTTTTAACTTAAGAATGAATTTTAACATCTTGCATCATCTTGAAGCCTCATGTCTTATTTAAAGTGAACTCACGTTTATGACAAAAAAAAAATCATAAGATTCAAAATGTCTGCAGTGCATGGTCTAACTGCTACGCATGTTTTAAGAAGATATTGTATTGCTTATTCTACGGGGGGGAATCACTTTAAATTTAATAATTAATTTCCTGATCAGATTAAATTAGGATTAACGTCACCAGGATGGTACAACTGTGACTTGCTCACTAGTTGAGAGCAGAAGAGTGGATTTCTACTGTAGAGATCCATTCATTTCAGAGATTCATTCTAGGTGTTCTGCTTTCTAGTGCTTGTGAACCCAGGGCCCTAATTCGCAGAGGCAGACAACCTTTTTAGGAGTGGAAGTAAAGCATTTCAATCTGCATAGTCTGCTTGGGGAGCTGGAGCCAGCCAATTCTCCTCCACATGGCTTGGGACCTTTCCATGCAGGGATAGGGCCAGGCTGGCAAGAGGTGCACTGATTCATAGTCCCTCCAGACTGTCCATACTCAGGCTCACCAATGGAGGGAGGAGAGGAGCAAGGGGTAAGTTGCCCTGGGGCCTGGTGATTGAAAGGGGCCTGAGGCTCCCAGCCACTGCTGTTGCCATAGTAGCAGCAGCCAGAGCCCCAGGCCCTTTAAACTGCTGCTGGAGCACCACCCTGCATGTTCTGCACATCTCTGAGGAATGGGGGCTCAGCATCACAGTTTGCGCAGTGCTGAGGGCTGGCTGCCACTGGCCTCACGCCTTCTGCCCACTCGCCCATTCTGGGGTGAGGAGCCAGCTCCCACACACCTTGCCTGGGCAGCTCTCATCCCCCTGTCTGTCCTTGAGGGCTAAGAATTTTAAACCCAAAATATCAGTTGCCAAACCCACATGGGCTTCTTACAGAAGCAGAAGCAAACATTAGTTGGGATTGGTCCTGCCTTGGGCAGGGGGCTGGACTTGAGGACCTCCTGAGGTCTCTTCCACCCCTAGGACTCTATGATTCTATGATTTACAGCTGGCTTCCCATGGCAGAACTCAACTACCAATATCTGCCTTTTCTCTGAAGCACAGCTCTCTCCCATATGCCATTCTGTTCCTTCTGCTGCCTGAAGGAGTCAGTCTGACCCAAACTCTGCCAAAGTGAGATAAGAACTTTCCTTTTTCTTTCCCTCTGTGCTATTTATTGCTTACTACGTTTGCACAGAAACAGAAAAAAAATGTCCTTTTAAAATCATGAAGTCTGGAAAATGAGCTTGTATCTATGTATCCAGTACCATGAAACTGAAAGTAGGCAACTAGCTCAGGGATTGTACTAACAGGCTCCTCTTCACAAGAAGTGCTTCTGCTAGCTATTATTTAATGACAGTGCAGTATGTGGGTTTATGATTTAAAATGTAGGACAAGTAATAGTTAGTAGCACAAATAGTGGTTCCTGGAAGTGAAAAAAAAACAGAACAGGTGTGTGGGGAAGAATCTTTTTAAAAGACCAGTAACAGCTGATTGGTAGATGGATGGCAAACTCTACAGGATAATTAGACTTGTTACAGGAAGTCTTTAGAAAGTTCTTGAATTCTCTTTTACCAGCTGTAAACTAAATTGCTTCAGTCAGCCTTAGTAATTAAATCAGCATAACTCAATTGGATCCCTCAACGGAAATAAGCAGATTTACACCAATTGAGGGTCTCACCCTAATATGTTAATTGACAAACTAAACTTGCATCATCTAGTCAGGTACCACTTATTTTGTAGATGAGGCTTCTCGGGGTGCATCTACACTGCACCATAACTCAAAATAAAATACACAATTTGAGCTACTCAGTTTGGGCTTATTTCAATGCTATTTCAAAATAGCTTATTTTGTCATTTGGCACTGTCTACACAGCACCAAATTTTGAAAAAAAGCGCTATTCCAAAACGTCCCTTACTCCTCATAGAAGGAGGTTTACAATGGGCATTGGAATAACGAGCCTGAAATAGCGGGCTAGTTGTGATAACACAGTATAGCTATTTTGGGATACTGGAGTATCCCAAAATAGCATTGCAGTGTAGATGTAGACTGGGAGTTTTACCTGAATATAGATTCCAGGTTCAAAGGATTGTATGTCCCAATCCTGCAAACACTTACACCCATAACTTGGCCCATATGAGTAGTTCCATTGAATGTAATAATACTACTCCCCATGGGTAAATGCTTGTAGGACTGTGGGATAACTGAGGGACCTTACAGAGTTTACTTCTACTGCTATTTATTTCCAGAGATTTCTCTGGTTTTGGGTGATAAATTAGAAATGAATGAACCAGTTCAGATAAAATGAGAACTAGACTTAAGTTTGAAGAGAGACCTTTCTAAGGCTAATATCAAATTGATTTTTGTGCAGCTCTGGTAGCAGTTGGGACTGGAAACAGACCTATCCTCATATCAAGAGAAAGGTGGTTTTTATGCTGTTTCTAGCCTGAATGGCCAAAGTAACCTCCTAAGATCTCCAAGTGCAATTTTGAGACTCATCAAGGCTTGGATAACTGTATTTGCCTACCACTAAAAATATCTCCCACAGAAAGCATGAGAACAATGAATAAAAACATTTACCTCAGACCTGCGCCCTCTGTTGAGGTATGTGCATACTGGACTGAATGCCCCACTCCCACAGACGTACAAATGGGTGCGATTGAAGGTCTGTATCACACGTACATAATTTCCACAGCCATGCTGTAAGGAAATAAAAATATGTCATAGATATGCATGCAGACAAAGCTTATGGAAAGTTGGGAAACGTTAAGGAATAGAAACAGCTGATCATTTCAATGCTATCCTTGTCAACTTGTTTATTACAAAACATTCTGGTATAATCAGTCATGTTAATTAGGACAAATACCCTTGCTCTCTCTTTCTCATTCCTTGTTTAGAACCAAATCAGTGATCCCTGCCAAAACCATCGGTCAACAGATTTTTGTACAGTGCTGGGAGAAGGGACAGAATGCTCTTGTTCTAATCTGAAAAGCGATGGCTACTTCACTTCCTGTCCACTGGAAGTTTTGGCCAGTTGGTCTGCAAAGCTGTAGACGAACAAGCCATGGTGGTGCCTTTTCTTCCAGCCTGCTCTGTTCTCCAGATTGCCATGAATGGGCCAGTGTGGAGGATGCAGAAACCAAGGACTCTCCCTGTTCAGCTTCCCTATAGCCTGCTCTCCTGGCTCAGAGAGCCACAGCATATCAGTTACCATACACGGTTATCCATGAAGTGGTCCTGATGCATTCCCCACTGGCCAGGGGTAATTTTTATTTACTTCAGGAGTTAAGAGAGAATCAGGTTCCCGAAGGACAGCCAGCTTTTGCCCTTCATCACTAGTGCCCTCAAGGAAGTCTCTGCAAAGAGCTCATTCATTTCTCCAGTATTGTTGATAAACAACACCGGTTCAGAAGTGGAAATAGTTGGGAAAAAGAACCCAGCCCCTATTACTTGTCTAGACAACTTCCCTCCAAAATAATAAGAGCCTGAGAAGCTCATAACATAAGCAAATCCCCAATGGATGTGAAACTTTGCTCTGTATTGAAAACCTGCTGTAACGATTTCAAAGCAGCATACATTAAGCAAATGTAAATGTAAGGTCAGTGTTGCTCTGCATTCTCTCCCATTCTCCTCATAGCATCTCTTTCCTTTCCTTTCTTGACACTGATCAGCTGCTGCTGCGCTTTAAATTAAGTTATGTAGACAGATGTTTCTTTTCCATATTTTTAGTGATCAGTAGCCCAGTTCTGCCCTCATATTCAACCTGGTAACATCCCTTGAAGTCACTGAGAGTTAGCTGTGTGTTTGTGATGAGTACAGGCTTGGAACTTAGGCCATCAATCAATCCCCTGTTAATCACTGGAGTTAATCCTCACTCAACAGGCTGCACATTTTATTTATATTTGAAGATGTTTGCATTTTCAGTCCAATATATGATGGAATTCTACTATGACACCTGTTTATAAAGGCACCCAAAAAAATGGTTATATTACTGTCTGCATTCAGTATCAGTGAGAAAAAGCTTTCCCATTAGGAATGCTGTGCAGCAAATAGCAAGGAGGTTTGTTAATTGCTGTTCCATTAAATGGGTGATCATGGGACCCTCATCAAAATACACTGCTTTCCCAAAGCTGTGGGCTATCTTTTGATTCTTCTGCTTCCCCACATCTAATAAGTCACTGAGGGTACGTCTAAACTGCATGGCTCCATCGACGGAGTCATGTAGATTTGTTTGTTCGGCAAAGGGAAATGAAGCCGCGATTTAAATAATCACGGCTTCATTTAAATTTAAATGGCTGCCACGCTGAGCCAACAAACAACTGATCAGTTGTTTGTCGGCTCAGCGCGCTAGTCTGGACGCTCCCCTGCCGACATGAAAGCCCTTTCTCGACCTCCCCGGTAAACCTCATCCTACGAGGCATAAGGGGGAGGTCAACAAAGGCTTAAGGGGAAGGTCGACAAAGGGCTTTCATGTTGACGGGGGAGCGTCCAGACTGCGCGCCCTCCAATCTCCTCCGGGACAGCGGAAGCTGGGGCCATGCCACACACCCTCTGCCTTCTACATGGCTCCATCGATGGAGCCATGTAGTTTAGACACACCCTCAGATGCCTTAAAAGCAGCTTTGCTGTCAAAATCAGTCCTGCACAGGAAATATCTCAGAATTGTCTCTTTGGGCTGTTCAAGTCTGAGGGTGAAGAGGAGGAGAATCTAAGACATGCTCCTGGCTCATATGCACTACATAACTTCATGCCAGGAAGGTAGAATGTCATGTTTGGTCCTGTCAATAGGGGCTTTACTGGAACATAAAGGAATCTTTGTTGGGTAATCTTATAAAAAAGCTCCTTGGAGACTATGGATTGAGGAATAATACCTCAATGTAACACAGGCTTGTTCCACTGTTACAAAGGATAAACACCCTCCAGTACCACGTTGTTTTCTTTCCACAGTATCTGCAGCAAATGTATAGAGATAGCTAGAGAAATCTGACACTCCTTAAGGACAGCATTGTGAGCTCATGATATGACATCTAATGTGCCCTCATCTCTCCTCTGTGGTGATTAACAGGCAGGTTACACAATCTGGTTCAATGCTGAGTTTCTGAGATTTTATGTGGTCTCACAGGGTATGTCTACACTGCAAAGTTAATTTGAACTAACAGCTGTTAGTTCGAGTTAACTTTCATAGGCGGTACACATGCAAACCTCTAGTTCGAATTTAATTCGAACTAGCGGAGCGCTTAATTCGAACTAGGTAAACCTCATTCTACGAGGACCAACGCCTAGTTCGAATTAAGTAGTTCGAATTAAGGGCTGTGTAGCCACTTAATTCGAACTAGTTGGAGGCTAGCCCTCCCCAGCTTGCCCTGGTGGCCACTCTGGGCCAACCCATGGAAACTCTTATGCCCCCCTCCCAGCCCCGGAGCCCTTAAAGGGCCACAGTCTGGCTATGGTGCCCATGCCAGGTGCAAGCCTGCCCGCACCCAGCCAGCAGACCCCGCCCCCTGGCAGCCTGCCAGCACCCAGCCAGCAGACCCTGCACCTGGCACGGCACGAGACAGCTGCCCGCTGCCACCCAGCCCTCCGCCTCTTCCCAGGACCAGGCTGGCAGCTCCCAGGAGCCTGCCCAGGGCCACAAGAGGCGGGCGTCCACCTGGTCTAGTGCAGAGATTGTGGAACTCATTCAGGTTTGGGGGGAAGCCTCCAACGTCCACAACCTCCGTACTAGGCACTGGAAAGTGGCCGTCTAGGGCAGGATAGCTGCCAGCCTGGCCACCCAAGGCCACATGCGAACCCAGGAGCAAGTTTGCATGAAAATCAAGTTGGTCCAGTGAGACCCTCAACTCTTAGCTTAAAACATAAGAATGGACATATTGGGTCAGGCCAAAAGTCCCTCTAGCCCAGTAGCCTGTCTGCTGACAGCAGCCAACACCAGCTACCCCAGAGGGGATGGACCAAAGACAATGACCAAGCCATTTGTCTCATGGCAACCATCTCCAGCCTTCCACAAACAGAGCCCAGGGACACCATTCCTACCCCCTGGCTAATAGCACTCCATGGACCCAACCTCCATGACTTTATCTAACTTCTCTTTAAACTCTGTTCTAGTTCTAGCCTTCTCAGCCTCCTGCAGCAAGGAGTTCTACAGGTTGACTATTTGCTTTGTGAAGAAGAATTTCTGTTATTAGTTTGAAGCCTGCTACCCATTCATTTCATTTGGTGTCCTCTAGTCCTTCTATTATGGGAACTAATGAAGAACTTTTCTTTATTCACCCCCTCCACACCACTCATGGTTTTATATACCTCGATCGTATCCCCCCTCCGTCTCCTCTTTTCTAAGCTGAAAAGTCCCAGTCTCTTTAGCCTCTCTTCATATGGGACCTGTTCCAAACCCCTAATCATTTTAGTTGCCCTTTTCTGAACCCTTTCCAAGGCCAAAACATCTTTTTTGAGGTGAGGAGACCACATCTGTACATAGTACTGAAGATATGGCGTACCATAGTTTTATACTTCCTCTCCTCCTTCCTCCCCTGGCTTCCCCCTTCCAGCTCCCTCCTCCCAGGTTTCCCCCTCCCCTCTCCCACCCTCTCTCTTCCCCTCTTCCACCTCCTTTTCCCAGTCTCCCCAGTTTTGTTAAATAAAGAGAGTTTCTATTTTTGAACATACATGTCCTTTATTTTTTACATCAGGAAGGGGGGCTAGGGAGGGGTAAGGGGAAAGAAGGAAGGGGTGAGGGAGGAATGGGGCATGAGCCCCTGATGGGGAGAACTGGGGTGGCTCTGTGGGCTCCTCGGGGTGGAAGCTCTCTTGCAGGGCCTCCTGGATCCTGGCAGCCCCCCCATTGACCCTCCCAGATGGCAGCCTGTGGCAAGTGCAGCCGGGCTGATGGCCGAGTGCTGTGATGTGCCAAGTGTAGGCACTCAGGTCACTCCAAGACAAGACTGCTTTGCTGTCCCTCATCAAGGTAGACAAGCAAGTGGGGAACCCTGAGAACTGTCTGTCCGGGCTGGGGGTCGGGTCCCTTTAAGCACAGCCCTCGGCTAGCCTGAGGCAGCAGCTCCACACTCTAAGTCCTAACCTGATGCCCTACTGGCACTGGTTCCGGCCAGCCTTAACTTTGGTTCAGGGTCCACTCAATGTGGACATGCTATTTCGAATTAGCAAAAGGCTAATTTGAATTAGTTTTTAGGTATAGATGCACTAATTCGAATTAGCTTAGTTCGAATTAACTAATTCGAATTAAGTTAGTTCGAATTAGTGCTGTAGTGTAGACATACCCACAGAGTGCAGTTAGGGAGTCAGTTCTGAAATGTTCTTTCAATTGCTAAAGAAAGCAATTCTTCAGTGTAATGCCAATGAACCCTGCCTATGATTTTATACATGATTAATCTGTGTGATTCTGCTACAGTCCCCATCCCATTAAAACGGGGCAGTGTAACAAACAGCTTTGGGACCTGAAGAACTTTGATTCAGGAACCTTTTAGTATCTGATTTTCCCTTTCTACGTATTGGGTTACTATGTTCACCTTTAAAGTCTAAGTAGTCTGAGGTTACATGAGAGTACAGAGATGGGTTTGGTTGAGAATGCAAATGATCAATTTGCCCGTGTGGTTGACAGTTTGTCATGAGTTCATGTGTTACTGGATATTTCCACTTCAAGCGATGTCAGTAATCATTAAATCAGGGTTTATTCTTTGGAACTT